GAAACTGAAGTCATTATGAAATTATAATGGAAGAATGTTATTATAGAATAGAATTTAACGGTCTTCAAAAAGCTTATAATAGACGCGTAACGAAAACCGTTATAAAAGTCCGGAGTTTAGCGATAGTAGTTACACAAATTATTTATGTCAGACAAATGGGAGGTTTAAATAGCTAAACCTCCCAAATATGTAAAACGTCACGCGTGCGATCATATAAGTAATCACGTGTAAAATTATACATTCATTGGTCAAAAAGATTGCTTATATCTGTTTTGATAATAATATAAGAAATTTTTTCATTTTCAAAATTAAAAAATTTTTTACGTGCAAAATTCACAAAAAAAAAAAAAGAATATAATCCAAATATTAACAAAAGTTATTCCTTATACTCTCATTCTAATAAAATCAAATAAATGGGAAAAATACACAACAATCAACAAATCAACAAATTCAACTATATCCCGTTGAATATCATCTCGCGTGTGAGAAAACGCTTTTGCATCTCGTATCGACTAAGGTATAACATTTAAATATTTATTTTTTTTATTCGTATTTTGTAGCTAAATTTTAATACTTGTGTTTATTTTCATTATGTTGAGAATTTAGTTGGATACAATTGTTCTGTAGAAACGAGAGAATAAATCCTGAATATTAGGTTGAGTTAAACTATGATCTTGACCTGATAAAATTCAAGATCAATTATTTAATATGCGAACGAATCAAAGCCAAAAAGGAAGTATAAAATGATAAAAATAAACTTTTTATCAATATACTTTTTTTAATCGAATAATCAAAATAACAAAAAAGGTTCACAAGTTAGTACTGAAGATTTTATATAAATATCTTGTACTTTCTCTAGTTGAAGGATAATTCGACATAGAATTTTATCTCTATACCAAGTGTTTATTATCAAAATAAAAGAAAAAATCTTTAAATTCATAAACTTTTATTTTCCTATTCATTTTATAAATGATTCACATGTTTGAACGTATCTCTCAAATCCTATTTCAAATTCATCTTTCTTAGCAGATGACCTAAAGTATAAAATTTTAATGACAATTTCATTAAAGTGGTAATGGAAATATTGTATTTTGCATACGAATTGTTTCGCTATCCAATATTCTAACATCTTCTTAAAGGCGCGCCAATCATACTAGGTACATAATTTTTATGACCTGATGCGTCTATCGACGCTTAACTGTTTCAAAATAAGCACGCTCACATTCTACCGATTT